ATGCTGCTAATGATGATGACACCCGACCACCGCTCTCTGACACTTCACGTACATGTGCCGTATCTATGTCTTTCTCCCTCACTCACTTTGCTCACTTCTGTCACAGATTTTCACCACAAAGTCCACACGTGACTTTTCTCATGCCATAGATCACGTGCTTCACCAACATCTCACACCACTCAGCCACAGATGTGACACATAGAGATTAGGTGATAGTCGACATTACATGTTATGGTCCAGACCTGTAGATGATATGGTCGGACCTGTCTATGTCAGGATATAGTAGAGGCATCCATTTGGGAACAAAGGGAACAAGGACTATTGTTCGGGATCGTCCAGGCAATCAGCTCAAGGTATAGCTGTTACCACGATGGGATAGATCGTCTCACCGTTGCCACGGGAGAACATCGATCTTCACACCTATTGTTCTACTTACAGATAGATCTTCTCACTTATTGTTCCACATATAGTTTAGTCGCCTAGATACGCGGATAGCCAATCATCTATTTTGTAGTAGTGGTATGATGTAGGTTATGTAATCAGGCTCCTGTATGTGTATATAAAACCAGCCATGTAGAGGATGAAACTTCAGATTGTTTCTCCTCATCTACCACTGTAGCATCCACTGAGCCTACCAGCTCCATCATATATCTCTCTCACCCTTCCAACTGCTTGCTCAACCACCAAGTAAGTCTCAGGCTCACAAGCCACATAAGGGTTCAGGGGGATCAGGGTGGCACATTCCACATGACCATTCCCTTTTAGTCTTTTTGATCTCTTGTTTAGCAATGCTGTGACAACTTCAAACATTGAGCTCAGTGTCCTATATGATCCTAACTGTCTTCCTGACCATCGTGGACCACTCTTCTCCCACGTTCATGTGAAAGTTAGACAGTACAATTACAAAGGTGCTAACAGAAACCTCATTGCTCTGTAGGAGACCTATGATAAGCTGCATGCCGGTACACTGATGCTTATGAATGTGACCTTGCATTGCCAGATTTACCGTGACACTTGGCCTGGGAAGAATGGCAAACAGACTGTACACAAAGTGAACAAGGAAAGTTTGCGCATCCTCCTCACCATCTTTCCTCCCCTAACACACTCCTCACAGACTTACCAACTTGTCGCCCACCACATCGAAATTATTGATGGCTCCAACAAGCAACCTCACCTCTTCCCTCCTATTCTCAGTAATATGCGCATTTTTGTCACCACTCCTGAGGCTGCTTTCGATGTGTTCAACAGCTTCAATGTCTCTCCTTTGCCAGCATGCTCACCACCGCTGTATTATTTTTTGTACATTTACTTGTATATCATGCTATGCGTGGTTGGAAGGAGTAAATACATGAGGTAAAACCATGTAAAGAAGTGTTGACATGCAGACTGTGAGTAAAAAGTGGAAGTAGTCATGAGGACCTGGAAAGAACAGACTACATATCTCAGGTCAGGTGGAGCCAAAGCAGCAGCTGTGAAGGAGAAAGTGATGGATATGAAAGAGGCGAGGCATTGGAGGCATGTCGGTGGCTCCACAGATGGTGTAGGTCCCGGGTGGTGAGATTGGGGTGACAGAAGAGGAGGTGCTGAGCATGCGTGTGTCTTGGGCAGTGTAGCATTATGTGCTCGCACGTGCTAGGGGTGGTTAGGTTGCATAAACAGGGGGTGCCATGAAAGTGATAAGCAGGGCCTGCAGTCCTGAACATGGAGGAGAAATAAGGAGCCAGGTAATCATAGCCAGTTATAGCTTGGGTTAACCTGGCTTCGACATCATGTTCGAAATAATGATCAATGAAGACGAGATGTAGCTTAAGGTTTGGCTGATGCAGCCAAGCAGATCACAAAGCAGTGAGACAATTAGTGGAGTGGAACTCATTTTGCCAGGAGGTGGTCACTCACTCTTGTGCCCAGCGCTGGATTCACATTAAAGTGGGTAGGATACACTATCAGGTAGGGATGTTCCCGCCTTGGCTAGATGGTCTGCCACCTTGTTTCCCAGCACATCTTGGTGGCCGGGAACCCAAAGCAGTGAAACAGATAAAAGAGGGTATTGCTCCATGAGAGGAGCGAGAAGTGCTCAAAAGCGAAAAGAAAAAGGCTGGACACTGTGTGGATGCAGCAATAGGATATTGAAGAGTGCAGATCTATTGTCCATGCAGAGGTAGATGTGATTGATAGTGGGTAGGTCTCCAGAAAACTGGCAAAGCGGCTGGAGACCGCTGCCATGACATAGAGCTCAGCATCGTAAACCTCTGCGTGGTGGCCTAAGCCCCATGCCTGCTCATATTTTATGGCCCCCTGATGAATGATACATGCACCTGCACCTGCTCTTTGGTTATGTGGGGCCATTGCAGAAGTGTCGACCTGGGATCTGTCTGTGAAGACCCATAGGGTAGTGGGGGAAGGGGTGGCAGAGTGTAAAAGAGGATAGAAAAATGTACATAGGTAATCAGCAGAGCCCTCCTTGGTCGGGGGGAGAAGGGTGATGGACATGCATGATCCTCATGGGTGAAGAGGCTCTCACAGAGGCTGGAGCCATGAGTTGAGGTGGTCAGCCTGGTTGGGGAGTTCTTGCTCGAGGACATCCACTGCCATGTTGCCATAGCAGATGGGGATGTTGGGGTTGAGGAGGGAGAAGTTTGATTGGTGGGTGAAACAGTTCACCACTAAGCAGTGCATACATAACAGGGTGGTTTAGGGGGAGGGTGAGAAGCCATGCCACAGCAAAGCCATTGAGCTTGTTGAGCTGCTGTCACATCAGCAGAACACTGGAGATAAGATTCAGTGCAGCCTGGAGCATTGACTGCCAGATGCCCAAAAACCATTGTAGCATGGAAGTTTGTACCTGCTGCAGGGGTTTAAAGAGTGAGTGCTGCCCCCATGGGCTGTACCACATGGGGCTGCCAAATGTAAGGACAGGGAGAATGGTGGTAAGGTAAAGGAGACGGGCTTGCACGACCATCATGCTGTGCTGGGTGTTTGCAAGCATGCGAAAGGCTGTGACATGGGAGGTTGCCCTCGAGGCCATGATGCAGATGTGATGAATGAAGGTGAGGTGCTGGTCATACCATATTCCAAGCCAGCAGAGATATGGTGCAGGCCATATGGCAACCTGTTGCCCCTGCCACTGAATGTGCAGTGTGAGGTTAACATTGAGGGGGCAGCTCAGAGATGTGAAATAATCAGTTCAGTTTTGGCCATGCCAATGGTGAGCCCGAGTTGGTCCAAAGTGTGCCTGACACGTGGCAAGGTGTGTTGAATGATGGCAGCATTCTCGTGTCAGGAAGGAGAAACAATGAGGAGGGAAAAATCATCCATGTATCCAGCAGTGGACTGCTGGGGATAAATGAAAGGATTGAGGGATGCATATAGGGGTGAAGAATAAATAGTGAATAGCACAGGTGAGAGGGGCAAACCCTGTGGAATGCCAAGGGTAGCAACAGCATAGGACATTTCCAGCTCAGAGTTGAGCTTGAGACAAACTGGGTGAGAGGAAATGAAAGACATAGTCCATCGGACCTCATTGTCCAGAAAACCCATTGAGAGTAGGGTGGAGTGAAGAATATTGTGACTAATGTTGTTATAGTAGCCCTCCATGTCCATGCACAGAAGGGTTGTAGAGAAACTGTCACAGTTTTTACCTGACACGTCATTATAGGAACAAATGCTATTAGAAGCATATCATTTTTCATCATTTCTCGTCGCACAAGAAGTCACATGATCTAATAAGAGATAAGATAAAGGCATCTAGTCACATGACCTCGGATCTCTCTCAGCATTGTCACGTGACACCGAACTCCTCGGCATGGTGTCATATGTCGCAATTGCCATAACACCATATTGCATGCTCAAGAGGAGCTCCGTCTCCGTGGGATATTATTAGGCAGTCAATCAAGATAATTGGGACAAGTCATACGATTGCAACATGGTCCAGTAGCACAGCGTGTGACTCGCTTATGTAGTACTGTACAGTAGTTAGGCAATCATGTATATAAGGACCAGTGAGACGAGGAGGAGACCTCAGTCTTATTCTCTTCGTCCACCACTACCATCACAGAGGGGTCTTACCAGACACTCTCAGTGTGCTATACATATAGTTGCATTCTCACCTTTGTGATCACACCCCTTGCCTCACCAGTAACGCTCACTTCGCAACATAGCAACTGGGCCTCATCAGTGGGCAAGTCGTATCGCCACAGCTTGTCGCTGTCGGCTTTTGCCAGAGACCCTCAAGGGAACTCTTGTTTGGATAGTCTATCTTTGTCATCAGCGTGCCATGACAGAAACCATTCAGCAAGCTGTGCAGATGCAGTGCATGAGGACAACACCTGCATCCACAATGGAATGCTGGCCTCGTCCTCTAAACTGCGAGCCAGGAGCCAGATTATGGGTGCCGACTGGGAAATTGAAATGCACAGAGACCACCTTCTCAAGCACTTTGCTTAGAGTCTCAAGAAGCGCTATGGGGCAGTGGGCCTTGGAGACAGTATAGTCCACTTTGCCAGGCTTGGATAGGTAGACAACAGCAGCCTCCTGCAAACACATACAGTCTTCAACTGGTCCTTTATACATCACCAGTCCTTTATACAGAAGCACTTTCCTCATTCATTTCCAGGTCAAATTGCTCAGTAAAAATGGATTATGTAGCTACTGGTTAGAGGATTCATGTTCCATAGGACAAGATGCAGGTGGTTTGCCTGTTCTTTTGCAATATGGCATTTTTTCTGTTCAAGGCTTTTTTATGAAATTTTATTTTGGCTCTCATAGCATGCAGCAAGGGATATTCTGAAAGGTCAACATGCCAAATATATCTATAGTCAAGAGGCATGATGTCTGCATCCAAATGAGCTGATAGTGTGTGTGTATTGACCACAGGAGGCGATTTATCCATGGAGAGGAGGGGTCTAGTGGGTGCTGTCACATGTGACAGATCCTTGATGGTAGCGCACGGAGTTCAGCTCACATGGCAATTCAACACCGTGCTTCACTTCTGCTCACTCACTATGGTAGGACAAGCACTGGCTGCCACAAAGAAGACTCAGATCGCACGAGATGAGAAGGAGAAGTTAATCAACCATGCTATCAAACTCTATCAAGCAGAACAGCTCAAGCCTCCTGAACAGCATAAGCAAGGCTTGCGTCGGATTTGTGTACAGGTTAAGGAGTCACATCGGAAGGCAACAGGAAAGGTGGTAAGGTTGAATCATGCTACTCTGATGAATAGAGTTAAGGGTGGGAGGGCACTTGTTGACTTCAATCAGGAAAAAAGCTGGCTCACCTCCGAGGAGGTTGACCATGTTATCACATATACCCTTGAGCTTGCAGCACGAGGTTTTCCTCTCAGTCATCGAAGGCTACAAGAGCAGGTAAAACCAATTTTACAAGCACATTTAGGTCCAGAATTCCCAGAGACAGGCCTTGGTGAAAACTGGACATACCGTTTTGTTGAAAGGCATGCAGACCAATTGAAGGCAGTCTGGTCATGACCGTTAGACAGTGCCCGAGGGCATGCAGTCAGCCCGACCACCAATGAGGCATGGTTCACACTTCTTGGCCAAACAATCAAGAAGTATGACATGGAGCAAGACTGCATTTGGGCTGCAGATGAGACAGGTTTTCAGCTTGGGACAGGCCAGCAAAAGCGGGTGATAGCTGCTACCAAAACTAAGGTACAGCATCAGCAAAAGGATGAACGTCAAGAAAACATCACTGTCATGGTGACAATCTGCACCAATGGTACATACATTGCTCCTGCAGTCATATATCGGGGTAAGGGATATTTCGCCAAATGGCACCAAGACAATCCATTGAAGGCATCGTAAGTACATTCTGTGTAAAATTGTTGAATGTAACTTACAAAGACAATGAAGTCTTGGATACTCAAATAAGGGCTGGACTGATGGCGAGATTGGAGCTCTTTGGATTCAAGATTTTGACAAAAAGACGGCCACGGCTGCTCCTGGTTGATGGTCACAACTCCCATTATACCCTCAAGTTCCTTGAGTATGCTTGGAAGCATAGCATTCATGTTCTGCTTTCCATTGCTCAATGTCTCTCTTCCATGCCTCCATAACCTCTGCATTCTGTGCCTTTCTTTGATCATCTTCAGCTTTTCACCTCCTCATGTCCTCTATGTACTGTTCACGCAATGTCTTTCTCTGTTCCTTGGAATGCTCAGTGGCTTCCTGCTTCCGCTCATGTTCAGCCACAATCTCGACAAAGGCATCATCAGTGAGCATTCGAGGAAGTCCATCACTGACAATCTTCCCTTTTCCCTTCTGCTTCTCTAACTGCTCCTTCTCCTCACGAGTAGCAAGTTGGCATTTTACACGCATGCAATATCCAAACTGAAGGATCATTGCTGCCTGCTGGCCCCTCAATAGACTCTTGTAACATGCTTCATGGACTGTTGCTTCATGAAGCGCATCCTGCAGCTCCTTCTCGTGTTTTGTTTGAGGGGAGGAATCAAGAAGTTCTTGGTGGTGTTTCTTTGCGGGTGAAATCATGAATGTATTGAGTGCAGGAATGGGAGTGGAAGCCTTAATCGAGGAAGATGAAATGAGATGTGCAGCAAATGTCGATGCCAGATGTGAGAACATGTCAGTAAGTGGAGCTGGGGATGTAAGAGTTGATGCAGTGATAGAATCATCATATACCCGCTTCTCGACATGATTCAAGTTGTGATCTCTGGTTGAGTTGAAATCATTGTCTTGAAGGGTGAGTCGATCTAATACCTCCACGAGAATGCATACAGGAGATGGTGGCTGTATGGATAGCTCTGCCCGAGCATTTGTTTCACGGCTTGAAGCAATTGCATCTGGATTGAATGGCCAGACTCTCATCTTCTGAAAGGCAGTCTCTACAACCTCTTTGGTGAGCACCTGAACATGAGCAGCTCCATAGATGGAGAGGAAGTTCTTCTTTGTAACAGCGCCTTCTGCTCTATGCCACTTGTCTCGCTCTTCAGACCAGCACTTTTTGAGAACAGAGAAGACGACAATGTCGAGCCCTTGATACACATGAGTAATGTGGACTGGGTAGCAGAGAACATGACCTAGCAAAGAACGAAAAGAGAAAGCCACGCTGGACAAGACTGCTTCGTGGACCACTTGAGAAAGCTGCTCTCAAGCCAAAGATGGTGAAAATTGATGATGACAATGCCAGCAATGATGAGAGCAATGCAGACAGATCAAGCACAATGGATTCTGAGGCTGAGCACTGAGTTCCAAGCACTGTGGTGAGAGCATGATTATGCATGACAAGTGTATAGAGGAGTCGGAGATGTGCATTTTGACCATATTGCCTTCTTTTATTTTTGTACATCACAGTTCTCATTCCTCTGCTCTAAAACATTATTACAATATGCTCGTGAATGTCCTTGATAATTCTATATACTTTGTTTGAGGTGAAAGTGAAAATTCCTTGGACAGGAATTTCGAAACAATTGAGCGTACAAAGGACTGGTTGAAGACTGTAGGTAAATAGCCCAGACACAAAGATGCGGAGAGGAAAAGAAAGAAAGGATCACATGCACCGGACTCCCAGATCCACTTTAAGAGATGTCAGGATGTGCCAGACATGCCTGGTGCAGAATAGTTAGATGCTGACTCAATGGCCGATGTCACCACAGAGACAAGAAGTGGGCAGTCAGGCCGTGCAGGTGAATCAGCAGAAGTAAAGAGCAGAGACAAATCAGAAAGATGAGAAGAGGGTGAAAAATAGAAATGTGTGAGCAAAACCCCACGTTAGCTGGCAGCATGCCTACTTCTCCACCTAGCCAAATGACAGGCAGAGGGGGTGCTCGTGCTCCTTTAGTCCATGAGGTGAGACATCATGGATTGGTGTATTGGAGTTGAGCAAGCACCTCATGTGCCCAGTCTTTTCATGCCTGATGAATGATGACAGAGAGGGTGCCTTTGGTCTCACATTGTTCATCTCAGGATATAGTGTTCTGCATATGGGCCCACGTCAGATTGCATGTGTCATTCTACCAGAGCTGGGAGGCATGGTGAGCATGAGTGCACTGTGAAAAGACTTCCTGGTTAGCGGTGGTTAGAGCCTGCATTAGGGAGTGGGCCCCAGCTTCCAGATCATTCACAGTGGCATAAGTTTGGGGGAGAGAGGGGGGGAGGGGGGGGATAAGGTAAGTTCACAGGTGAGGCATGACATCCAATCCCCACATTTTGATATGTCTACGTGAAAGCCCAGGTCAATCAGAACTGGGTCAGCAGTGTGGGAAAGAATGGATGTTAGCATAGCATGGTCAGATTCAAAAGGGGTGGATGTGGCGGTCACTTCATGAACTTGGAAATGTTCACTGGAGGTCACACATATGAGATCAATGATGGTTCCTGGGAGTGGGTCATCGCTGACCATGTGTGTGGGCTAGTCAGTATCATTGAGCAAAATCAATGCTTCACGCTCGAGCCATTGAACAAAGGCATATAAAGCAGGAGTGGTTGGGCATGGTGCACGGCCTATTCAAGACCAAAGGGGATGATGAAGATTGAAGTTGCCAGCGATGAGTAAACTTACTTTGGGCAGGAAAGGGATATCATAAAGTATGGGGAGGATGTAATACTGAGAGTACGTGCCCTCATTATAGAAAGAAAAGTTGGGGTCGAAACGGGAGATAAAATGGACAATAATGAGATCAGGGTCAGACATCAAATTGGTGTGCATGGAGATGTGGTAAGTGTCGAGAAGTGAATGCCAGACCAGGATGCTAGCCCTGGGATATGGCAAGGTGGTGGTGGAGGAAAAATGAAAAGTGTCTAGCCTGTAGGGCCAGACATTGACATGACCATGAACAGTAGTGCCAGATTCAGAACTGTAAGAGCTGTCGATGCCGATCTGACTCCACCACAGTTCCTGAAGGAAATAGATATTATATGAAAAGGAAGAAAGAAGGCTGTGTATGTGCAAGTTAGACCAGGCCACATTCAAATGTGCAGTTGTAAGATTCATGAAGAAGGGTTTGCGTGTGAGATGGAGATGTGATAGTCTTTCTGTGCGGGGCATGTGGAATCAGTGATGCTATGGACATTGGTGCCACACACAATGCAGAAGTAGTGAGTAGAGTCACAGGGCTGCCCCGTCGGGCAATTTTCATAGTTGCACAGCAGGCATGTACGCCACTGCATGTCAGCTGTATGGTCAGTTTAACGCAATAGTGGCACATGGAGGTGCACTTCTTGCAGTGGCCCTCAAGGTGAGTAAGATGCCAGCATCATGTGCATTGACAGAAAACTGGTTGGTCCTTAGATTTCTTTACAGTCATGTGGGAACCATAGAACCAAATGAAATCAATGGTGTCACTGCAGTTATCTCGTCCAAGAAGGTTGCATGCACAGAAGTCATGGTGGGTATCTTCGACAGATGTGATGATGGAAGCCTTCCCAATCTGCTCCCACTGCTCTTTCGGAATGATGAAATCTGGGAGTCCATTGAAGTGGACTGTGGAGAACATGGAGTTTCAGTGAAGCTCCACCAAAATCTCTTCCTCCATTAGCATTGCACCCATATCTGGGTGGTGGAGAGGACAGCTTGGGATAAACAATTTCATAACTGGGGCAAGCGGATGGAAGTCCTGAGGCATGGTGGCCTGCTCATGTGAGCCTGGTGCAGGTGATAATGCCTTGGGCACAACATCTAGTAGATGCCTGATAGGGCATAGACACTCATAGATGAGGGCATCCAGAGAATCATTGGAGAAAACTGCCATGACCTTGATAGGTCCAGCAAAACAAAGATCGAGGAAATTTACCTTTGCCCACGCTGGTGTTTTGTGCAGGTGGGTGTGAATCTGTTATGAAACATTCCCTGCTAGAACGTTCAGAACCACATGTGCTTTCTCACACGTACTAGTCCACAATGTGGATGGAGACTTAGTATAGAGTATACCTGATGCCTCCAATAGTCAGGCAGACTATTAGCAGAGTTTATAGTGTGGTCAAGCCTAGTAGACGATGTAGCAGTGAGGTCCTCACTCTACCCTTGCTAGGCCTTGGCTGTTACAGCTACTGCATGTTCACCCGCAGGTTACTAGGTTCGCTGTTCTGACTCTAGCAAGCATACGAGCTTACTACCTCTTGAGAGCGAGTACGATTGCACGAGGGTTCTAGAACTGAGAACGTTCAGAGTTACAGGTGGAAGAGGTTAGTCTTCCAGCTGCTGCTCCACCCCTTTATATAGTCACAGACCTGTAGTCTGGGATACTAGTACAAGGGGTCTCCTACAGCTATTCATGGAGTAAATGAAATAGACCGAGACGAATACTAACTGTGCTGCGAGCCAAGTAATTGGTGAGCGAATGTCAGTATAAACTGAAATGAAAAACCTGCAATGAACCGATATGGAATATACCAATATGAAATAGAGAAATATGAAATAGTCTGATGTGAAATAGAAAGAAATGAAAAGTATGAAACGCAAACGTTAAACATATAATAAATCTTGCTAGATCTTCCCACAGTAGATGTGAAGCGTCTACCACTTGGTGAGATATCCCAAAATGGTATAGGGCTCTTCCCACACCACAGAGATGCTTGATCTGGTAACTGCACGTGATCGAAAACTTGAAACTTTTTGCTCGGGGCTCATTCGTGAGCTCCCCCCTTTCCTAGGTGATTGCCACCTAGCTTCATAACAGAATCTTGGTGTACCACTGAGGCATGAATCTGCCTGCCTCAATGGAGGCATGCTGTTCTTGAGTGATGAGAAGAACATAGCTTTCCTCATGAGCCTTGGCAGCCACCTGGGCCATGGTAGGGGTCACAGAGGTCTGTGCATTAGGTTGGGCCGTGGCCACAGTGGTGGGGCTGTCAGTGCATTTGTGACTCGCAGACATGGTTGGCAGATTCTGTGAGCCATTCAGCTTTTGAGGGGGGGGGAGGGTGGCAGAGGCAGCCAGCTGTGAGCAAGCTGCACTTCAATAGCTGAGAGCCTTGTGTTGATGGCAGTGTTGGCCATGCAGACTCCATTCTCCACTGCTTTGGTGAGTGTGGCCTAAAGGTCAATGCCCACAGGTAGATAGTCTCATGGCACTGGCAGGAACTCGCAGGGATGGGGAGGTCATCATCCTCATCACAATAAGGGTTCACAGCTGCAAAAAATTGGTCAAAAAGTTTCAGGGCTTCAATGCCCAGGTCTGCCAGGATTTTGGTATGGAGCTCACAGCAGGTGGTAGTGAGAATTTGGATGACCTGGGTGAAGTCATCGATGAAAGTAGCTGGGTTGGCATGCTCGAGGAGGGGGCAAATGGTGCCTTTGACAGCCTTGATGTTGTTGTTGATGTGGTGCAGAAGGCCTTCAAAATGCATCATTGCTGTATCCCATTCCTTGACTAGCAAGGCCCAGGTGGGTCGGGCAGATGGTGTGGGTGGTATAGTAGAATTACTGTTTGGTGGAGCAAGAGGCTCAATGTTGGGAGCCTCCATGTCAACATCGCTGGCGGTCACTGTTTGAGCACCTAAAGCAGACATGGTGGTTATGGAAAGAGGAAGGTTGTTGCCACTGCCATATGGATATGAGCGACTGAACATCATCACTATCATCCTCCTTTCCTATTTCCTCTCTATGTGTACCATTACTGTTTATTTTCATTCCTTTTCTCTCTAGTGTATATGCTCACCCTAACTGTATTCTCTCCCTATCGCCTTAGCTTACTGTTCATTTTCATTTCTCTTCTTGTAATCTGTCTGTTCCTTGTTCTTTCTAATCTGCATGCTTCTCTCACCTTACATTACTGTTACTTCTAATTGCTCCTTGTAATTGTCTCCTTCTGCTTGTGTAATACTACTCATTTTCCACCACCACTTCACCTATGAGCAAACTCACCACCCTTCTAAAATTGTTCCTTCCTGGTAAGTGCCCGCACACAATGAATTGTTTACCGTCAACTGAAACCACTTCAGATACCTTTCTACCCTTTCACGAGACATCAATTTCCCTGCCTGAATCATTTTTTTCACTCTTCAGAATGGACATCGATATCTTCCCTGACCTATATTTCCTGTAAACTCAACTGAAATCTGGTCTCATACACAAACCT